AGCGCCGCCCGCCTGCCCGCGGTGGACGTCTGGAGTCCGGCCCCCGGGGCCCGGGACGAGCCGCCCCCGGGCCCGACGGCGGTCCCTGCTCGGTCGGGCATGCACTTGGGACCGGGCGGTGGGGAGGAGAGAGCGTGCCTGTGCACAAGTGGAGCGGCCGCTCGCCCTCCGCCCCGCTGGCTTCCAGGACCGGGACCGCCATCAGCTGTCGTTTGATCCGTTTTTGTAATTCTGCAGTCGTTGTCGGAGCGGCTACTGCTCCCCTGAGCCGTCTCCTGTCTTCTCGCCATGGGTTTCCTTTGCTTGCTGGGTTACGCAGTTATCACTTTTGCAGCACTTTGTAAAGTTTCCTGATTAGAGCTTGGGAGGTCCTGGGACCCCGCCAGCTGCAGCGCGTGGGCGACCTTTGACGTCGTGCCCTTTGTGCCGGAGCTGCGCGGCTTAGGCGCTGGGGGCGGGGCGGGGGTGCAGATAAAGGGCTGCGGCCCGGGGGAGTCTAGTCTGCAGGACTCTGCCCCGGTCCAGCTGGGCTGTGGTTCAGGGTCATTGTGCATTTGATTACCTGGGTACTGGGATACTTGCATTTCATTGACTGACTTTTAGCGGTTACATTCCAGCTCCTGTTGGAGAGGTTTTCATATCTTAGCTGATTGTATTCTTAGTATTTGAGCCCTTTAAGACTTGTATTGTTGGGGGCGCTTACCTGATTTTTCTTAGGGGAGGGCTCAAGTGCAGTGGCCACAGTCATGAAGAGTTTAGTTTTCTCAGTGTGTGTTTCCAACTAGCTCGACGCTTCCACGCTGGCTTTTTTTAAAAAGTCTTTTACTAGTATTATACATCTTAGTTTTCCCCTCACTGCAAATTTTTTGCAACATAATTTGATTGCATTTTCTCCTAAGATCTATATTTTATTACCGTTTTATCGGTCTGACTTCCTACAGTCTCCATTTCTTTCTTCTGAGATCATATTTTTGGACATACCTTGCCCTTTTTATTGTGTGGTTGCCCTGGCTGCTAGGTTATGGTGTCCCCATAATCTGTGGTGTACATGAGGAGGAGTAAATCCCTTTAACCTAAAGTTCCACATATTGTATTACGTGGTCCTCAGAGACAGTTTAGCTTGAGTGCTATCCCCTTGCTTATGTCCCCCTGCTCCACCAAAATCTCTGAAGGCTGTGAGAGTGAGATTTGTTGTGGGCAGGTATCAAATAAGGTATTTGTTTAAAAACATTTAAACAACATCTTGCTGACAAGGTATTAGGGCCTTTAGCCTCCAATACAGTATAGGAAGTGGGTGCAGAAATGGTTGAGGACCACATCTTGAAGACTTCAGTGGAAAAGGAGTAGAAACTAGGTAGAAACTGGGTAGAAAGCATCACCTCGACTCTTGTACAAAATCAGATAGCTCAGAACTTGGAATGCTGTATCCATTATTGGATACTATGAAAAAGGGTGTTATGTTGCGTGAAAAGGCACAGAGGTAGCACCTTAAATTATGGGTACAGTATGGGAGCTTTCATCTGAGAAGGAGGGAGGAGAAATGATTGACATTGATGGGAACACAGCCTTATAGATCAAAACTTTAAGTAGTTGGACAAGGGAGTCCCTTTTCAAATTTCAGGGGGAAAAAGAGTTATTTACCCCATAGGTTGGAAACATAATGGAACTTTCATTCTAAAAGTTGTTGAAGACCTGAAGTCTAAATAGTGGACAGTCATAAGGAACAGTAGTTCCATCATTAGATAACGAGGCTTAAAAGAGCCTCAGCCACTTTAGGTGACAGCTCTGATCCTGTGGAGGGGACCATGCTTTCCTGCAGAAAGTTGTGTGCCGCTGTCAGCCAGCTGGTTGGTTTCGGGGATGTTTTCAGTGGTTTAGCTGACGGGTTTTTGCTCTCTGCCCTGCAGCATGCAGTTCTAGGAGTATTGCCTCATTCTGATGTTC